TACACATGGCTGCCAGGCAGCCTGGAGAGCAGCTCCTGCAGTTAAGTGTGGAGGGGGGGAGGGGGATTGAGGCCCACATAGGGAGGGAGGGAGTTGGGCAGGGCTGGGGCTGTTGCCCAGCTGGAGGTGTGTGAGGCTTGGGGCCTGGGGCCTCAATAAGCAGCCACAGGGCCCCGGCAGGGAGCGGGACAGGGTCCTGGGCATCTTGTCTGGGGTTGCAAGGGGTGAGGCCAGCCCTCCACTGCTGCGCACAGTCCCAGGGGGCAGGGGAAACTGTGCCCCCCAGAACTGTGTGTGGGGTGGGGGTACAGGTAGGCTGCCTACTGCGGGCTTGGGCTCCCACCCTGCTGCTTCTGCAGCCCAGTGGGTGTGCCCCAGTGCTGTGGGGCGGTGCAAAGAAGCTGCTCACCATTTTGCGCTCTACACCGCCCTGGCAATATGTCCCCTGCATACACAGCAGCAGCTGGGGTGGTGGCGCAGGGTTGTGCCCTTTAACATTGTTGTGTGGGCAGGGGATGTGTTGCCCAGCATGGAGCTTGCCATGGTAACGAGTTTCCCCACGTGGCCCTGCTGTTCCCTGCAGCTCTGGGTTGCACCTGTTGGGCTGTGGAGGCCCTGGGGCAGGGCAGCAGGATAGGACTGTAGCTCTTTTTTCATTAGGAGGATGATTGGCTTGAGCTCTGAATTTCTTCTCTAGAGTCTCAAGCCCAGATGCCAGCTGCACACATTCTGGACCTGTGGGGAAGTCCAGCTGCGTGTCTGGGCTGGTGCTTTGCTGCTCAGGTCCATCTCCAGTTCTCACTGCTGCTCTTGAAAAGCATGCTGTGCTCCTGTCATTGCAGCCTTTGCTTCAGCTCTCGGAGCACAGAGGTCCCTCGGGAAGCAGGGAGATGTCGTTTCAGTCAGTGCACCACTTCCTAGCTACTGGAGAAAGGCCTGTCAGGGGAGGGCATTTATTGCTCCTGAGGAGTAATGAGATGGAAGAGCAGACTGCAGTGGATCTATCTGGTTTCCACACATCCTTGGTAAAGGACATTCCCAGCTGCATTTTGGCTCTCACCACACGGCTTCCCCTTCCTCAGCTCCCACTAGGCTTCATGTCCCCATGATCTTCCATGGCCAAGGATGGCCGGACAGGGGCTTTCATCAGTGCCACTCCATTATTTAGGCACTTGTGTATACAGCCAAAGGGAATTAGCCCTATTGCCCCACTCAGGCCCTCAGGTATCCCAGAGGGAGCTTGGAGGCTGAGTGTGCAGGGTTTGGGGCAGCTCTTATCCCTGGATTGGCTTTGTAGAGGTTCATCACACAGTGCTGGATTTAGGTTTAAGCTACTTAAATTTAGGTCGGGCCTCACAATATGAGGGGCATCTAAATAAGAAAAAAAACCTGGATGTTTTCATTCTAATATGACAAAAATATACATCTATATGGCTGCAGTTATTATTCACATTAATAAATTTGTGCAGAAATAACAATAATTCATTTTAAAATTTCATGAAAATCCATTTTCATGGATTATTTTTATCGTATAGGACCTCTTAAGACGGACATAGTTTAGGGCCTCAGCATGTCATAATCTGGCACTGTTAGCATATGGAACGGGATTTGAAGGCAGAAGCTTAAAGGCAAACCTAGCTCAAAGCACCAGGATTTGCCTGGCTTCAGGTGAGAAACTCACACAGCCAAACACTCATGCCTGAAACCATGTGGAAAGCTCAGGGCCTTGCCACACTCAGGCTTTATTGTTTAGCGTGCAGACCTCCTGGCTGGTGGGGGGTAGCTAGTGGCCATGGTGGTTCTGGGGCCTAGCAGCAGGTGTCTGCTCAGTTTTGAAGGAAAATGGCAACATGGAGATCTTAAGAGCATCCTGCTGGGACTGTCCTAGCTGGTGTCCAGGAAGGGGTGGCTGGGCACATCTTACTCCTAAAAATAAGGTTCCCTTACAGAGTGGTTACCTTGTGTAGATTAGGCTGAGTCTAAGAAACCATGTCCACAGCTGCTGTAACTATCTGGCCATGGCTATACCGCTTCCCTCCAGCCCCTGGCTCTGCTGCTGACATCAGCTCTGCCCACTTGCTCCCACCTGTCTACACCTGGCAGGCTCAGGATTTGCCCTAGACAGCTCAATGACGGCCTCAGCACCCTTCCCCCTCCACAGCATCACTCTTAGCTCTTTTAGGACAATGAACTATAAGACGCATGCTCAGGGCTGTTCTGAACTGTTTCCACTAGGTAAATGCTGGTTTCTGGTACAGCCAGAGTGGGGGGGTCTTATTTTGTTGAAGATGAACCTAGGGTCAGGAGGGAAGCCAGGTAGATGTGTCCTCTTTCTATTTCAGTGGAACTGCATTGACTTCCAGCAACCAAGAGGTGCAAAGGATGGTGCTGGGCTGGCTGGCTGCTTGTGGTCCTCATGACATAGTTGTGCTCATGATCTGGGGCAAGATCCACATGATATTGAAGCTCACTGTTTACAGCATAATGAAACAATCCATTCCCAGGCAGAGCTTCCAGCAAAGTCATAGTGGCTGAGGAAGGGCCTCAGGCATCTGGCCAGCTGACTTCAAGAGGCCTCCTGGCTGGGAGCCTCAGTGCATTGCAGTGATCTCTGTAGTTTGTTCAGTCTCACTCGCACTTTGGTTTTCACCAGGTTGTGCGTGTAGAGCTGGCGAGAGTATTTTTGTGGCTGATTAGTTAAGCTCGTAACACTTTAACAAAGGGAATGCAAAGAAAAACAGTGATGATATTTGCTAATGAAAGTCCTGATCCAACAGGTCCCTCAGTAATTTAATTTGTTGGAAAAGGAAAGCGAGGCATTATGAGTTGAGTGCTTTTCAATAATTCATCACTCTCTAAATGCTGTGAACCTGCTGCCTGCAGCCAGAAGAGTCATTGACAACCCTGTGTTAAAAATGCACTTGTACGATTTACATGCACAGCCCACATGACTACACCCCCAAGCCTGGCCACTTATTTTTATTCCTCGGTCTAGGTATGCAGCTGGTTTTATGCTGCCTGCTTAAAAATCTCAGGCGTTTAAATGTGCTTATGTAATGACCAAACAGTATACACTACAAGGGGACTTAAACTGTGACCGTCACTGCTAAAAATACAGGCCCCTCCCACATGAACTGAAAGAAAAGGTCTGTTTAGCTAGCAGTATTAATAGACTCTTACCCATTTATGTGGACTAACCACATTAGGTAGACACAGCACATGTTGAAACGCTTGTTAATACAGTTGCTCCCAACTGGATACACAATTGTGAGTTTGGAGTTGCAACTCAGACACTTTTTTGGGAACATTTGACCTTAGTAGAAGGTGAGTCATTGTCATCACCATCACTAGCAGCAACAACAATGCAACTAGGAGCCCCAATCATGGGCCAGGAGCTCACTGTGTAATGACCACAGAGCATCACATCGATTCAGTTGTGAGGAGAGGTATAACCTAATGTTCTGAGCCTTGACCTCAGACATCTGTCTAAAGCCACAGCTTTGCTTTGAAGGGTCCTAATGAGAGGTGCACCAATATATCAGTCCATATTGGATTGGCACCAATAAAAGGAAAATTGACATTATTAGCAATTGGCTTTATTTGGCTGGTGTAACCGATAATGTCATCGATAAATGCTGCATGCATGCGTGGAGTCACAGCATGCATGCAGCCAGGAATGCAGTCTGGCAGTTTGGAGAGCAGCATTGAGCCAGTAATTTGGTTGGGGGAAAAGGGCGTGGGGGAGGGAAGGGGTGTGAGGGGTCATTGAGGCCCCCATGGTAAGGGAGAGAACGGGGCTGGGGCCGGTGATGGGGGCAACAACTCCCTGCCACTGCACTGTCCCCTGGGGAAGGCATGGGGGGTATGTGCCCACTGGATTTGTGCATGGGGTGGACACAGGCTGCCCACTGTGGGCTTGGGACCAGGGCCTGTGCTGGCCTCTTCCAGGTTGGGGGGGCTGGGCTGGGGCTGTGCTCAGGGCAGATGGTGGCAGGCTGGGGGGTGGGAGTGGCAGCAGTGCTGGCTACAGCCACCCCAAAATTCCATATAGCCATTCCGTAGCTGCCCCCCCCAGCGCTGCCACCGCCACCCACCCTTAATGCAGCCTCAGCCTAGCTCCCCCATTGGTAAGAGGCCAGCACAGCCCCTGGCCCCAAGCCCACAGTGGTCAGCCACCTCCGTCCCATGCACAAATCTGGGGGGCACATACTCCTCATGCCTCCCCTGGGGGACCACTTAGCAGTGGGGTGCCTCCCCCTGTCCCCATTCCCCAGAACAGCCACCTGTGTCTCTGTCCTGTGCCCTGCCCTGCCCCACCCTGACTGGGCAATGCCTGCCCCTGCTCCATTACCTCCCTCACCATGGAGGCCTCTATCTACCCTGCCCCCACACCCTCCCCTCCCCCATGCCTCTTCCCCCTCACAGACTTACTAGCCAGATGCTTCTCTCCAAGCTGCCGGGCTGCATATCGGCAGTCAGGCTGGTATTGGCCAATATGGCTGGTTAATAATTAGCCATTGGTATCAGCCAAAAAAATCTTTATCGGTGCACCCCTAGTCTTAACTGTAGTGGGTCTTTGCCTGAAAAGCAAATTGGGCAAGGGCACTTGGGGTCAGCCACTTAGTCCAGGGAGGCCCCTTTCTGTAGCAGCCCACATGGGTTTGCATAGGTACACCAGGCTGCTCCCACACATTGTAAATGAGATTCATTGAAAATCTGACACTGATTTCATCCTCAGTTGCTGTTTATTTCCTGCTTAAAAATATAAACCCCCCACTGGTAGTTGACTGCTGTGGAAATTATTGTGATGCTCTAAGTGGGGGTCAGGATAATTTGGAGTGATGGATGAAGTAACAGGAACAGATCAACTTTCAGGTAAGACCCATTCATTCCCTCCTTCCACGCAGTGCCCATCACCTGGCTGTGAGAGTCCCACCCCAGTAAAGCAGTACATGGCACATGTATATGAAACAAGAAGCAAACCCCTGCTTTGCACCCACCTGCAGGTAATGATAGGCTAAGTCTTGATGGCAGGACTTGGACTTCAACAGGGCTTTGTCAATGGTGGCGGAGGCCTTTTGGCACACTTCCCGGGCATGGCTAAGAGTGAGTGTGGACCAGGAGCCCCTTTTGATATAGTTGGACTCATTGTTGATGGGGATGCTGGTGCAGGGGGTGACCTTCAGGTCGTTATTGCTCTTGGAGGATTTCAGCATGTGCTCACTGATGGTGTTATAAGCATGCATGAAGTACCTAGGCTGGCTGTGGTCTGGCTGCCTACCCAAGGTCATGAGGCCCATGGGGTTGCGGTAATTGCAGGTGTCGCTGTCTAGGTTGTCGTCTGAGCTCCACCAGCCTGATATATTAGATCTGGTCCTGCGTTTTGTCTCAGTGGTCTTTGCTCGGTCTTTGCTCTTGCTCCTTCGATTCTGCTTTGGGTCATCAGTGCCCTTCTTACCATTCACACTACCTTTGGCGTTGCCCTCTAGGGACTGGGACTTGGCAAAGAGCTTCTGGACTGAATGGACCAGGTGCCGTATGCGCCCAGGGCTCTCACTCCGGTGTTTGGAATCGCTTCTCTGGAACTGGAGGGTGCTGAAGCCGTCTCTGTGGATGGGCAGCTGCTTCTCAAACTGGTCCAGGAGGTTTGCAGGGAGGCGGTTGATTTTGGTGGCTTGGGCATGGCTTGGGAAGGGGTTCTCATCTGGAACCTCAAAGTGCGAGTTATAATGGATCCGGGGGAAAGTGCTGCTGTTGGAAATCTGGTTGTTGAGTGGGAGGAGGCAGTCGCCATGGAGGGAATTTGGGGCTGGAAACCGGGGGTCCATGGTATAGGAGTCAGTGGGGCTGAGGAGATATGGGTTCCTGTCCTGGGTGGCATAAAGAGAGTCTTGAGGGGAGTCCAGGTTATCAGAGAGGTGGCGGCTTCTGTTATCTCCTAGCCCCTTCATGGTCCTGGTGGCTCTAGAGCATTGCTTCAGGAGTGGCACAAAAAGGCCTTCTCATGCGTTCTGTATCTGATCTCTTTCCTGTCGGAGTCTGTCCTGCTGCCAAAGAGACAAGAACAGTGGTCAGATCATTGAGAGGGATAATTTACCCACAGATCTTTCTGTCCAGCTAAGCACTTCCACCTCACTAGGGCATCAGAGTGAGCACCTGATGAGCTCTAAAAACAAAGACAATGAAGGTTATTTCAGAACTGAGAGAGTCAGGAAAGGAGGAGGAAGAGGAAAGTGTAAGAAAGGGATGGGAAGCAGAACACAATGAGTGACAGAAAGGAATAGGAAAGGACATAACACAGGACTATGGAAAGCACCTCAGGGAGAGGTACTAGGATAACAGGACACAGGGAGGAGTACTATTTGCTCACCAGAGTCCAAATACTTGTAGACCTCAAAGCCTGAACACAAATTGTTTAAAATAAGGACACTGCTATTTTTTGGCATCTATGCATATTTATTTAATAGTGCTTAGTCCCAAACCAGCATAATGAGGGCTAGCAGGAATGCGCTGTCAGTAAATCATGGGCTCCTGTTCCTTTAGTTTAGGGGGCTCAAAAAAACCTGCTGTCAAATGCTGCACCTAGGCCTTGCCTGAGCAAAGAGAAATGTGGAGCCAGGGATCAAATCAGCTCTCCAATCAAGTGGCCAACCGTGTTTCAGTGGTTATCGGATTTTGTACGGGGATAATGGGCCTGATGTGCCTGCTGCATGGAGTTATGTTAATGCAATGTGATGGGAAACATCTCTTCTCTGACAAGCACCCGGCTTTATGTTATTCTTTACACCAGAGGAAACTGCTTCAGTAGTGATGACCAGAGCAGTGGTGGTGCTAGGATACTCATAGGCCTGACCTAAGAGGCTGTTTGTTGCTCAGTCACAGCTCTAGGTTTAGGCCCCCAAGTGCATAGCAGGAGCTCCACTGTGTGAGCTACTTTGATTCCAGGACAGAACTATAATCTGCTAGTTTTATTTAGCAACAATGTCCCTAAAATACTGAGAAACAGAATCAAATCACCTGGATGGGAATGGCGCCTAGCCGTGAAAGTACAGGACTGGCTGCTAGAACTCCTGGGCTAAGTACAGATAGTCAAAAAGCCTGAGGCTGAAATGATTCAGTCTTCACAGGTTAGTTTAAACTGTGTAGATTGAACCGATAAGCCAGTGAACAGACATTCATTTTTGATTCCAGAAATGCAGCTACATGTCTGCAATGCCCAAGCCAGAAAGCCAGGGAATGCTAGAGCATGCCTCCCTGCTTGATTACAGCAGGCAGTGGGGCCAAGGCTAGCCCACCCAACCTGCAAGGGGGGGTGGTGGTTTGCAAGGGAGGTGCAAAGCCTCCTAGGATGCATTCAAGTTAACTTGAATCTGGAGAGGATCTGGGACAAAAGTTCAATAAACTAATTAAACCTAAATCTAATAAGCCTGATACAACATCCATCTAGGTTTATCTTAAACTGTTTTCTGCCATTTTTCATTTCGTTTTTGTGCACTGAACTTCTGTTGTGTTATAGATTTGAACCAGTTTCTGATCACTTATACTGGTTTGTGTGTAATTTCTGTCCCTAGGCCTGGGTTCCACTCCCACCAGTGCCACAAGCTTGCTGTCCGACTTCATCTGAGAAAGCTGTCCTCCTGCATGGCACCTTAAAAGTGAAATGGACTAGAAGTGGAATTGAATTGCTGAGAGCACAGTCAGCAAATCATTAAAAACTCATAGTAACTGACTAGCCTCTCTTCACTGCTCAGGCTAAGAAAAACTGTGTTAGTGGTGAAAAGGAAATGAGAGTTTTAATAATTTCATGGCTAAAAGATCAAAGATGTGATTTACAACACCGCTTCGGAAACCTGCTTTCTTTAGCATATGCACAGTTAATAGAGTGACCCTTTAAATCTACTGGTGCAGCTACCCTCCCGAAGAAGGTTCTTTTTAGAGAAAAGCAATGCCATATTCACCCCAGGAGATGCAACTGGTACTGCCCCTCCACTTTGAATCCATGTGGTTCTCACCCCTCTCAGCCCTGCTGATTCCAATCCTCTTGGATTCCTGCTGATCATCTCAGCAATGATGTCAGTACCTGGCAAATCCACCTGATCCCTTTGGCAGATCCAGTGCACCCCAACCCCTGTAAATCCAGCCAATCACACCAGCCTATCCCTATGTTGAGTCCACGTGAACCTTTTGCTCCAGTGCAGATGACCTCCCCCAATGCAAATTCAGCACACCCACCCTAAGAGAAATACATGCTTCCTGTTACACCACTAACCTGTTCTGGTTGGCAGCAACTTGAGGTCTGCTAAATGAGTTCATACGGAGCATTTTCAGCCTTGAATTAGAAGCAAATGGTAAGTGAAGACACTTCCCTGCAGCAACAGTCATTTGGGGGCAGCCCTATGCATGGAGGGTACAGCTGATCTAGGGAGCCTGTCACCAGGCCTGCCTTTGGGCAGTGGTGGAGAGAACATCCCCAGACGTCCATTCCCCTGACATCTCAGACACTGGCAAGGATTTTCTGTGATGGCTACAAGATGCCAATGCCTAGCCTGCCACCAGATGCTGAGCTGCTGGAGCAGTGGGGGCAGTGCCCAGATGAGAGCATGGTCACTATTCACAGAAATCTGAAATGTGACATTATACTTTATGAGCATCCTTAAAAACCTTGGCTCCCAAAAGCAGTCAGCTCCTTTTCTTTCCCATTGCATTATTTTGCAGATAAGTACATCAGACGTAAGACTCTCAGCATCTGGGGGAGCTTTCACATATGCTGGAAGAGCAGCAAGAGGCAGGAGCTTGCAGAGACACTGGAGAAGCGAAGGTGCTGGCAGTGCAGCAGGGAGGGCATGGACCATGACTCCACTCAAGCAGAGCCAGTTGGACAGGCAGAAAGGTCAAGGACAATTTAGGGGAATAAATCATGCAGTCAGGCTGTGGCACATCCATATGGATCTGCCCATACATATGCATAGTGCAGAATAACAGAGGACATTAGTGAGACAGTTTACAGCTATTTATGCTAAGACAACAGCAAGCAAATAGCCTCGGCTGGGGTGGAGACTAATTGCCTGAGACAATCAGAGAATTCATTCCCTTCTTTCCCCTGCCCGATTGGCCAGGTGCATCCTGAGCATGTGACTCCTGCCTTCTTGGAAGGATCAGGTGTTGGGAAGTCCTGAGGCAGGGCAACAAGCTTCCTGTGCCTCCCACCCAGTCCTCTGTTCTTAAATGATAAGGCAAACCTGATCTCTTGTGGGTCATTTTGGCTAGGGACAGGTCCTCAGTGAGTGCAACCTGGTGTAGCTCCATTGACTTCAAAGGATTCTACTGACACCAAGTGGGCTGAAGCAATTTACACCAGTTAAGAAGCTGGCCACCAGGCTGTGCATAATATAGAGCTCTTCTCGTCCTAACTCCTGCAGGGAACATTTCAGGTGTACCCTCCATCCCCAGTTGCTCACACTTCATTGCCCAAGAAATGCAAGAAGAATAAGGGGACAACTCACCCTTAGTCCAGGAGACAAGCACTTTCCCAGCTTTAGGGCTTTTAGTAAAATTCCTAGCGCATGCATTAACAGGGTACAGCCCAGCAACCCACTGCCTCTGCCCACAGCAGAGTGAGATGGCTAAGCCTGCAAGACAGCCACCTTCCCACACAAACCCTCTCACCCAAAGCGCAGTAACGCAGAATCAGAAACATGAAGCAGGATCTGAATCTGGGTTTTTCTCCTGCCACAAGTATGTCCACAACAAGCACACCACTGCCACTGCCGTGGAGCCTGTCATGATGCAGGATAGGTTAGTAGTTAGCAACTATGGACTTGGAAGGTCTTTGGTTTCTACCCCAGTCTTGAGTCCCTGGCCCTGGAGGTGACCTTGGGCCAATCACTTAAGCTCCTTGGGTCTCAGTCAAACCAAGCTCTGTGGCTGGGTGAAAGCAGGAACCCTGCTGACAGCCAGCTGCTGCCTTGAAGCTGAGCCTTCATGAGGAAATAACTCACATGCACGCAGGGGTGATGCGAAGGAACAGGAAAAATCTACAATTAAGTGAAGCACAAACTTTGACCTGACGCGGGGAATGGGGGGGAGGGAAATGCAGGGTCCTGGCTTTATGACACGGTTTACTAGTCAAGGGCCTGGTGGCAGGAGTGGGGGAGAAATGTCACCAACTGAAGGCCCAGTCTAGGATTTCTCAGAGGTAGTCATTTACTGGCATGCACAACAACAAAGGTGAGCCACATGGTAGACCAGATGTTGTGTCCCACAAGACGTGCTCTTGTGTGACAGTTTCTCACAATGTCCAGTTGTGTGGCCTGACATATTGTTTTCTATTCATTCAGCTGTGGTTGGGGGACAGTGGATGAGCCACTGCTGCACCTGCAGCCACTAAAGACCTGCTGGGGGGGAGGCAGGCAGGTGGGGGCTGCTCATGGCTAAATCCTGGCTACTTCCTTCTCACTCCCCTGCTGCCCAACTGTCTCCCTAGTGTGAAGTTCGTATGCTGTTCCTTGTCTCTTGCCCTTCAGGGCAGCATGCTTCTGTTGTTTAAAATTCTCTTCAGTATTGCTGCCAGGTTTATGTCCAAGTAACTGAGAATAAGCCTTATCTAAGGTGCCATATATGTGGTATATAGCATAAAGAATCTATGCATGTCTCCGTCACACAACATCCACTATACCTTCCTCATACATGTGCCCTGTACAGATGTCTTTCAGATGGAACGTCCTACAGAGCACAGTTTGTAGACAGTACACTTGCCTTGTATAGTGCAACGTATATATATTATGCCTACTTCACATAGAACCCAGTTCATATATTTGGTACCTATCTTGTATACTGCAGTATATATTCTCCCTAGCCATATAGAGCACAGTGCTTAAGCACTACATAGTATGTAGTGGTATGTTACATAGTGTAATGTGTATTATATACTCACATACAGGGATTTTCTGTAGAAACAAATACACACAGAGGGCCAAATAAACTGATGGGCTTGAGTGAGTCCAGACTGTTTTGGTGTATATCTTCCAACCTGTTCTATGTGCACATTACAGCATCTCAGACCTGCCTCTAAATGCTCAGCCCTGATCACAGGTGGGTGTACATTTCCAGTGCTGCCTCTGTCCCATGTCTGAGTGTAAATGGGAGTCTGAACATGTCAGCTAACTTGCCATGCCAGTTGTAGGCCCAGGCAAGAGAAGCACAGTTTGTGGGAGGGATAAGGTCTCAGTTCACAGAACTCTTTCCCAGCTTTAATTTACAGTTTCTTTTGCCACCTCAGCAAGCACCTTACACATCCAGAAGGGGCTGAGAGTAGGTCTGAGGGAGCCTAGGAAACTGGAGGATGCAGCTCTTGCATCCCTTCCACACCAGGGCTGGTGCCTGCAGAGCAGCCGGGGGCTGGTTCTCAAGAACAACAGGCAGGCGGGAAACAGCATCCTCCATTCTGCTTTCACAGCCTTTATTGGAGACAGCTAGGCACAGAGTGAGAAGCAGTCCCATCCCGCCTGGGTCTTTTCCCCTGCCTGGAGTTATTTATGCTGCTTTAAGGTGAAAACCTAGTTGTGTTTTCGGAGATTTCTTCCTACAACCCACTCATCCAAGCCCTAGATCTGAGAGTGGCTCAAGGAGGATATGTTCCTGGAACAACCCCTGAACTCCTGCTAGGGCCCTGAGTACTTGGGGTTCCTCTTTTCCTGTCTGATGCCAGTTTAGCTGCTCCTCCACACCTGTGTTTCACCTGTGCTGACTATAGAGCAACACTTGGCCCGAAGTTTTGAGCTTCCTCTGTTTGTGTACACTAGCCCTTGGCAGATATCATTATTTCTGGCACAAGGAGGTCTTGTGATGCTTCAGGACCAGTGCATGGACCCGAAGGCAAGAGACAGAGCAGGCTGCATGGGCTCTGGGAGAGCAGAGTCCTTTGTTTCACTTCCTCTCTGGGACTGCTGTGCCCCACATGCCCTTTATTTCCTCTCTCTCTCAATATAAGGCCCTGAAAATCTGCACTGCAGGAACCTTCGAAGCTCAGAGGGATTAGGACTTTACTCTGATATTAGTGCAACCCCAGCCTGCCTCCCTTATGCCCTAAATAATGAAGCAAAGTAGTCTGCATGCTGACACTAAGCTGGGTGGTAACATGACCATTCCCCATGCAAGATCCATCTGCAGTATCCATGAGGGACACTTAGCTGAGAGAAGATCCTGCATCATCCTTGCAGCTGACTCCAGTACAGCTCTGGATGCTGATGGGATTGTTACTTCCGTGGCAAAAGCAAACCAAACCCTTCAGTTGCCTGGCAGAAGTAGTGAGGCATTGGCGTTTAACTGTTAGAACTGGTGAAACTTGCTGTGTTGATAGCTCAGGAGACTGCCGTCCTTCATGGGCTCAAGTTTTAAGCAGAGGCCAAGCCAGCTTCTTGTACACTATCCTGCTATCCTAGCTTTGCTCTGACATGGGCAGACCATGGTTTTGGGAGAGTGCAAATTCAATCTCAATGGCTTATTCTGTCCTTGGCCTTCCAATGCTCACTAGGATGGTGACTCTTGTGAACTTGCTTCCATAGTACAGAAATTGGAAAAGGTTGATTATGTCCCATCTAGTCCATCACAGGGTTGACGACTGGCTGTTTCCTGCAATGAGTGCTTCATTCAGGGGTAATTTCAAATATTGCTGGTCCTGAGTATTCTAGAAACCTCAGCAAACAGATGCCAGATGGCTGTGACCTTCAGACACTATTGCTCACCAGATGGATCAACATACTAGGGCTACTGTTAGAATCAGACAGTCACAGAAAAGAAGGGCTGGAAGAGTCCTCAGGAGGTCCTCTAGTGACCCTTTGCTTAAGTCAGGATCATCCTTGTCTACACCATCCTAGGTGAGTGTTTGTATCACCTGCTCTTAAAAACTTCCCAAGATGGATATTTCAGTGTCTGTGAGTAGCATGTTCCTATGCCTAACCACACTCACAGTAAGAAAATTATTTCTAATATCCAGCCTAAATTTCCCTTGCTACAATTTAACACAATCACACCTTGTCTTGTTCCCTGTGGCCACAGAGAATAGTCTATCATCAGATTCTTTATAACAACCCTTCAGATATTGAAGACTGTTATCAAATTTCCCCCTCAGTCCTTCTTGAGTTGCACTGCCCAGAAGTGGACAAAGTACTCCAGGTGAGGCCTCCCAAATGTTGAACACAGCAGACAAATCACTTCCCTTGCCTTGCAAACAATGCATCTGTGAGTACACCTCAGTAGGCTACTAGCTTTTTTGGAGGGGAGGACGGGAAGCCTTCCTCTGCCATTATTAATGCCTTGAACTCCAGGTAC